GAAATTTGATCCCTAGGAGGATCCCTCATGAATGAATTAATGCTCTCCCTAGGTGGGGGGATTAATGAGTGAGTTCTCGCTCTATTAGTTCCCACGAGAGCTGGTTGTTTAAAAGACCCTGGCACCTCCCCCCTCTCTCTTGCTTCTTCTCGCCATGTGATCTGCTTGTACCTGCCACTTTCTACCATGAGTAGAAGCAGCCTGAGGCCTGTGCCAGATGCAGCTGTCCCAGAATCATAAGCCAAATAAACCTCTTTTCCTTATAAAAAATAATAAATAATAAAAAAAAATAAAATAAAAGCAAGGAAGGAAGGAAGGGAGGGAAGAGGAATGGGAAGGAGCGGGGACAGAAAGGGTGGAGAGGGCAGGATAAGGAAGAGAATCAGGCAAAACTAAATGACAGTGCTTAGGAATGCACTAGGGTAATAAATTATGAAGAAAGCAAGGAAGTAATTACCATAAAAGAATAGTGGTCACTTCTAAGGAGGAGGGAGGGCATTGTTATTGGGGTGGCACATTTTTAGCAGAGGTTTATTTCTTACCATTGGTGGTGATGACAACATTTGTTTTACGTGGCTTTCTATTTCTGTGTTACATTTTTAAATTAAAAAGGCTTTCAAAAAGTAACTTCTCTTTTGACTTTTAAGCTATTATCCCTACCCTCACCTAAGCAGCAAAGAACCCCCGAAACACAAGCTAGGAATGTATTTGGCATTTCCTCTGCCCAGGTATAAGTGATTGGCAAGGGGCCATGGAACTGCTTTCTTACTTTTAAGGAAATGAGGAAGAAACCTTTACCTCTGGGGCCAACCTCCCAGCACTCTGCTCGTAGCAGTCTCAAGGGAGGGAAGAGTTTTAAGTCTGAGCACAGCTCGTGCTTCAGGAATGTCCTGCAGTGGCAGCTGAAGGGAGGATGGACCCTCGCTGTTCCACCTGCCCCAACAGGGCTCGGGCCCAAAGGGCTCTTGCGTCATCCCTTGGTTCATGTGTGTGCACGTAGCGACCGTCCCATCCCCAGGGCGGTTCTTTTTCTGTATAGTTATATATGGCCATACACTGTGATATTCGCTCTTACAAAAATGTTCCCAACATGTTTAATTAGGCCGGGCCTTTCTCAGGACCAGCCTGAGTCATGTGATCTCATTACCGCATGCCACCTTGTATGGAGCACCTGGACTTCGGAGCCAGCTGGCGAGGGGAATCTGGGGCCCTGTGCCTCTGCTGCAGCAAGGACAATGAGAAGGGGCCCAGAGCAGAGTAGGGAGTCCATTGAGATCTGGGGGCTCAATTGTACTTTTTTTGAAAGCCTAGTTTTTGAGGACAGAGAGCAGGAAGAAGGCCACCAATGTTTGTTAGGCATCCCTCTTCCATGATTGCATCAGAGGATTAATTCTCATGCTAGTTGTCAAGGGGCTCTCCCTGCTGTCTGTAGGGCTGTGGTTCACACAGACCTATCACAGCGTTCTCCGTTGACAGCTGGCTTGCAGACACAGCGGCCCGCATCACAGGGTCCCGCAGTGCCAGCTGGATCACAGTCACACTTGGATTCTCTGGGAAAGAAGAAAAAGAAAATTAGGGATGTGTCTCCAAATGCTTCTCAGCTATACACATGAAGATCAACTGCTCACAGGTAAAAGTCACCAAGCTGAGCAAGTGCTTCTTCAGTGAGACCTTTCCTAGTAATCCTTGTGCACGCTGATCTCTCTCACACCCTTTAAGGGCTCAATTGTCCATAACAGCACTGTTCACAGTGTGGTCTGTGGGTGGCAGCCAGTCCATGAACTGCTTGCTACCTAACCCTCAGGAGAGGAGGGATTTGTGCCAGAATGTAAACCAAGTTCATCACTAAACTGTTTAGCTTAGTTTGTTTGACTGTTTGGTTCAGTTGACATTTTAAAAAAATTTTATCATTTGTTTCTCTCTTGTTAAATTCAATGCTGTCTGCTTTTATCATGATCGATTCCACCTACCTGCTATTTTAGTTGACTCAGTTATTTCTTTTGATAATACTAGATATAATACATATGTTATGCAGTTCACCAATTTAAAGTATATGATTCAATGGTTTTTGGTCAATTCTCAGAGTTGTATGACTACCACTGCAAATACTAATTTTAGAACATTTTCATCAGTCCAGAAAAGAAACCCTGTGCCTTTAGCAGATGTCCCCTCCCCCATGTCCTCCCTTCAGTCTCACTCTCAAGCCCAAGGCAGCCATTAATCTACTTCGTGTTTCTATAGATTTGCCTGCTCTAGACATTTCCAATAAACTGAATCATACCACATGTGGTCTTTTGTGATTGGCTTCTTTCACTTAGCACAGTGTTTTCAAGGTTTATCCATGTCGTATCAGAACATGCATTCCTTCAATGGCTGAATAAAGTTCCACTGTATGGATATACCCCATTTTGTTTATCCATCCATCAGCTGATGGACATTCAGTTGTTTCCACTTTTTAGCTATAAGGAATAATGCTGCTATGAACATTTGCACACAAGTTTTTGTGCAGATACATACATTTCAATTCTCTTGGGTATATACTTAAAAGTGGAACTGCTGGGTTTAGTTAACTTTTTTTTGAATGGTAGGAAGACTTGCTTAATGGAGATATCAGTGCTTTCATTTAGTTCTGGCACAGTCTTCCTGTCTTGTGCAGACCCGTGCTGTGATTAGTACTGCTCTCTGTCACTCATCCTGACACACAATCACGTATCTATCTCCTCAGTCTAAAACCAAGTTTGTTGTCTTTCCCTTGCTGAGCTGTTCCTCCACTGACTGCCGGGTGACCCCATCCAAATCCTGCCCAAACCTGGAGCACTCTTGATTCCTCCCTCCCCCTCACATTCCTCAACTAATTAGATGCCAAGTCCAGCCAGGCTTCCAGCTGGAATTCCTTTCCCAATCTCCATCTTTCA